TTCAGAAAAATGAATCATGTCATAGTTTATTGTTGAGTATTTACATCCATTCTATTTTATTAAAATTATTACTTTTTTTAAAGAATTTCTCTGTTATTATGTTATTCTGAAAACAATTCAGTTTAATCAGTTAAAATGTATGAATGTAGTTTAAATATGACGAGCTGTGGATCAACCAAGATTCATTTAGTTCAAATTTATGGGAAAGAAACAGATTGGAGTTATCAATGATGAATACATAAATCTTCATTATTAATTTTAAACATATTGGGTTTGTTCATATTATTACATACATCTAATTCTTCATTGTTTCATTTACATTTGACAGAAAAATATGCAGCACATAAAGCTTATTAGCCTGTTTCTGTTTAAATCTAAGTAATTCAAATGGATGTAAATTTTGTATGTAATGAGGCCGAAATATTCGGTGAGTGTAGAGTCTTGTATGACCTTGCAGGGTGAGCACCCTTTTGGTGTATGACATGTTTAATAAAATAAACAAAGTAAAAATTTAACTTGACTAAGACAGGAGAAAACGTTCCTGAAAGTAGTGTTGTTATCCTGAAACTAGCAGATCTACCCCCAGCAGTGAATGTATTCACAGCGAATGGGGGTGAATTTTCAATGCATGAGCTTGTTTTCAGTGGGTACATATCCTGACAGCTTTAGATCGAATCACAAACAGAGCTTTGTAATTTGGGATATGAACTTTCATGATCACACACCAAATCAGAGCTGGTACTCATTTAAACAAGTTAACTAGCAATCAACATCATCTCTTAAAGATGATTGGGAAAAAAAAACTCATCTAAGCAATCAAACCAACTAAAAACAAGGAGATATAAAATGTCAGCTGCTTCTATTAGGAAGTCATTTCCAGGAGGAAATTAAAAGTAATCAAGAAAACATGCTTCTTGGATAAATGCATTCATATTTTTATAGGTTATAAGTCAGATTTGAAATAAGGGTCTTGTGAGAAGCTGGCACTGAAGCCAGCAACAAGCTGTGACTTTGTGATGTTGCTATGCATGGAATGACATTACGCGAAACACTTTTATTTTTATCTTACTTTCTGTCTTTTATCAGATGGTGGAGAAAGAAACATACATTCAGCCCATTTCACTGTTGACACATTGTCATTGTCAATGTCAGTGAATAACGAGAGTATTTATTCTGTCATTCTTCATTCCATTACAGACCTGAGCTATTTGCAGGTTAGGTAGACAGCTGTGTTTGAGAAGTCAATCTTAATATTGACGGTGCCTTAGAGTATGCATGAGCAGTGAGGCATGCATTCTTGTAGGCTCAGGTAAGATAAATCGAGGGACAAGAAAAAAAAATCATGTAGGGAAGAGAAATATGTAGAGAAACATCCAAATCTCTTTTGTCTTGAGGACTAATCTCTGTCTTTTTTTCACTGGCTGTAATCTGCTCCTTTCTCAGGGATTTAAAATCATTTTTTTGTTTGAACTGTAGCCATGTCTTGAGTCTAAATAATTCATAGTAAGGCTGCCTGATTATGGCAGAAATCTGAAATTTGATTTGACATCTGGGACCCTCTTTCAAACTCAAAAACCTATCATTAAAGCAAAGTAGGAAAACACAGTTTCTTCTATATTTTTGTTTGCTAAAGCATGTCTGTCTAACTGGATAATCTTTTTGACCTTGATTATGCTGCTGCCACACTCAGATAATCGTTGTCATTATTGAATAACACAATGAAAGAATCCCCAGAAAGGCAGACTGCTCTGTTGAAGAGTGACATCCTTTTTTGTTTGATCTAAAAGCAGGCTTCCCACTCAGGAGCTTTTCCAGGGAATCGGTATTGTAAGCAGAAATGGAGACAGTAAATCTTGAACCAAATGGAGGATGTTTGCACACAGATGAGACAGCTGTGTTACTGACTGAATGTAACACTATTCAGCAGAGTAAATTATAATGTAAAGAAAGCTATTATCAGCTCAGCACAGACGCGTGTCAGATGTTAGAGCATTATGCTTGAGAGTCCCAGATTATCTAGTTTATGATACACACTAGATTTATGTATCCTACGCTTTGGTTTTGTTATCTATACATAAGAGCTGTCGCGATATGCCAGTATTGACAGGAACCGTTTCAAAATATCAAAATCTATTAAAAAAAAAAGGAATAAGGTGATATCTTGACGTGATAGTAGTAGTAGTAGTAGGCTGGGCCACATGTTTGAAGGATCACGAGGAGCCGTTCTTTTCAAAGATTGGCCAATTGTTACATTTATCTCCTTTTTAGAAGTCAACCAGGGTACAAGTGGGTGGGAATTATTCAGAAAGATTGATTATAATTTCATTTGACTTTTTCATGTTTTCATTGTAAACAATACCTAAGGGGGTGCCACATCCCCATGCTTTGAAGGTGAGATCCCGATTAAGAATTTTTCCCTCACCTAAAACACGTTGTGGTGCGGTAAAAACTGTGCCGGCTACAGATAACTGATAAACTACCTCGTATTTGGGGAAGACAGGTGACAAAAGAAGGCAAAATGGGCAATTTAGGCCCCGCAAACGAACGGCTCGGCACTGTAAACCGGTTCTCATCATTCAGTTAAAAGAGCCGTTCAAGGGACTGACTCGTTCGCGAATGTCACACCTCTACCATACGTCTTTCTGTGGAAGATAGACGGACAGGAAGTGGTAGACTGCTAGCTCCGAGACAACCCAATCAGTTCTTACAGGAGATGTTAAACCAATGTCGGCCACTCATTGGTCAAAGGGGTTTCTTGCGGTATGAAATCGGCAGAGAAAAGTGACTTTACAAAGACGTTAATGATATGAAAAACAAAACACAGTCCCTGTATATACCATGTAATCAGAAAAAAATTACATTTCTACCTGCAGTTGCTCAGACCTTGTGAAAAACTCGGTGGATCATCAGCTCCTGCCAATCTGAAAAGAAAAGCTCTAGACAAAAAAAGCAGGTTGAAGTATGTAATGTGCATCGTGTTGCTGTGGAAATCAGCTAAGAACAGTGCAGGAGGTCAATGAGCATAAAGAGTGAGGATAAAACGATAAAAAGTAAACTGTCAGTTCAAGTGAAATGAGTCAAATAAACCTTAAGACCTTCTATGTGGGAAAAGAGGAATGAAAGTGCTGTCTCTTCTGTCTGTCTTCTTGAGCCCTTGAACAGCAGTAACCTTTGCCTTCAATAAAAGTAAGCACTGACTGAGTGAGACTGACTGACTGAGACTGACTGAGGCAGACTCATCTGTGGACATTCATCATGAAGAAACTAGAAAACATGATTGAGATGTAAATGTAGATAGAAGCAGCAGATGTGTTGAATGTTGACTAATGTCCGTTTCTCTCCTTTGATCTGAAGTTAAATACAACTTTGCATTTTTCTACGTTCGACTACTGGCCCACATAATGGATGTCCCTGTCTCTATAAATGAACAGTATGATTAAGGACTGATCAACAATCCGTGCAGACAGCACAATCACAAGAATTTCTGAGCTGGCCAAACAAGTGAGAAATGAAATATATCAATATAGAAAATCTTGACATTTGTAATCCATCTATCAGACGAGGAAGCCAGGACACAATCTTTTGTTTCATCAAATTAAACTCTTACGAATTCAGAGACAATTCTTATCAACGTACTGATATACATCATCAGCTCTCACAGATGGCAGCTGTTTTCACACCCAAGATTAATTGAAGGGATATTCTGACGTAAGATCAATTTAGGGTCAAACACACACTAACACCCTTGAGAGATGAATGTTGCCGACTGCCTGCTTCACTAGTTATACAAACTTTAGTATCGCATTGCATTTCCATATAGAAATCCAATCAGACCGAGACGCTAAGACAGGAGAACTACCGCGTCTGCAGTGCAAAATGATTAATATGATGATCATTACTTTAATGTTCTTCCTTGAGCTGCGTCACCCCCCAGGAGTCCATAATGGACTGGCCTGATGTCTCGCGACAAACAAGGGGCTGCTGGAAGAGAGTAGGTGAGTTGTGTTTAGTCTCTTTGCTAAAGAAATTAAGCAAAGCTGAAAAATGTTTGGTGGCTAGTGTTGTAGCTAGGACCCTATATGTACTGTTGATGAAGTTAGCTGCTGTTCTGAGCATTATTTTTGGCTATAGAGTGGTGTTTTGGTTGAGGATTGTTTATGGCTCCTCAGACTGCTGTGTATTGCTATGGTGCGGTCGTTACTAAGGTTTGTATAACTAGAAAAACAAGCGGTTGGCAACATTCATCTCTTAAGGGGTGTCCAACTCTAACTTTATGCCGGAATATCCCTTTAAGATAACAGCGTACTATATACCACAGTGCGCTGGAAAACTATAATGGATGGGTCAGTACTTAACAATTTGGTCTTGGTTTGTCTAACCATCCTCATATAAACTCTCTGCCAAAAAGACGAGTTTGAGAGAAAGAAAAACTTGTGTTATGCAACAACTTGACCGAAATAATGACCTGGTTTAAATTGTAATGGCTTCTGCTGCAAAAACACAAGTATGTAATGACCAATGTGGTACTGTCTGAACTCTTAAAAACCTTGCATCATTCATTTGAATAAACTAAACATTCGTATCTTTAAGGTTCCTCCAATAACAAAGCAGTGGTTGACAGCCCTCAAACCCCAGCTGAGATCTGTGAACCTCTCAGAGCTTCAGTAGGTTGTGAGTGTTGTGTGGCAGCTGAGTGGGTTGAGAAAATTCTCACTCATCATGAATCATACAAAAAGGGCACCTATTAAAAGTGTTATTGTCTGATCTTCTTAGGAGAGGTTTTAAGTTAGGTGCAAAAGCAGGAATAATTGCTTTGATGCCTACAGAGTGCAAAGTGAACTTTTGAGAAGAAAGGAATAAAGAAGCCTTGGGGAGACGTCTAGCATAAGAAAGGCTGCACAGCAGGACAAATAGAAATGTAACATAACAAGTCGCTGAATGGAACTAAAAGATTTAACCATTTCGAGAAGGACAGAAAAAGAAATAACTCCATTACTCTCTGAGATGGAGAAACAACATTTTATAAATTCTTTATCAACAATGACAAACTGCATGAAAATGATCTGCACCTCGATCATCTTGTTAGACGACCTTGAGACAGTCACGTATAAAGAATCTAAAAACAGTCACCCTTTGATGCATCACCTTAAATCATACGTTGTCTTATGACCATGACTACACAAAGCTCTTCAACTTAGACAAGATATTTTGTCATTTAGAAGAAAACATCTCAATATTTTGCTCTTATTTTGATCAGTGTTATAAACAAAAATACATATACAGTACAGGCCAAAAGTTTGGACACACCTTCTCATTCAATGTATTTTCTTTATTTTTCATATGACTTTTTACATTGTAGATTATCACTGAAGGCATCAAAACTATGAATGAACACATGTAGAATTTTGTACTTATAAAAAAAGTGTGAAATAACCTAAAACATGTTTTATATTCTAGTTTCTTTAAAATAGCCACCCTTTGGTCTTGATGACAGAAGTACCTTGTCAGGGTTACTTCAGGCACTCCTGTGAAGTAAAAACCATTTCAGATGACTACCTCATGAAGCTCATTGAGAGAACAGCTAAAGTTTGCAGCGCTATCAAAAAAAGCAAAGGGTGGCTACTTTGAGAAATCTAAAATATAAAACATGTTTTCAGTTATTTCACACTTTTTTCTTAAGCACATGATTCCACATGTGTTCATTCATAGTTTGGAGAATCTACAATTTTAATAGTAATGAAAACAAAGAAAATGCATTGAATGAGAAGGTGTGTCCAAACTTTTGGCCTGTACTGTATACAGTACATATTAATGAATGGCCACAAACACGTCCCTTTAAAAAGCCACTTCTTCACATATTCTGTGAAATCTACCTCATGTCCGTCACACTTGCAAGGACAGAGAATCATAAATGCATAAATACAAAGAGTAGTTTGTGTTTTTGTTCATGAGCTTGGAACTACGCTCACACAGTCTTCGACCATCTCAAACAAGAAGTAATGAGGTCCACTACGACGTGCAATCTCACTCGCAGTCTCCCCGCTGCTGCTGCGAACGTTCGGCTTGAGGTGTCGCTGTGAGAGGAGGAGCTCTAACGTGTGAGCAGAGTCTGTTTTCAAGGAGCTGGCGTGGGAGGCAGCCAGGTGTAGTGGTGTGAGCCCACCGTTGGTCTGGGCATTCAGCTCTGCTCCGTGCTGCAGTAGAACGCTCGCTACGGTGACGCGACTCCAGCGACAGGCGCTGTGAAGGGGCGTCCAGCCGTCGATGGTGCGAGAGTTCACTTTCGAACCGGCAGTGAGCAGAGCAGCGACCACATCAACGTGGCCGCTGTATGCTGCGCGGTGGAGGGGAGTGTAAGCGTCTTCATCACAGCAGTGCAGGAGTGAGGGATCAGCAGCTAACAAACTGTGGACTGTAGAAAGCTGGAGGAGAAGCAGAGAAATGCTGAGCACCAAGACGACACAGAAACAATCTCTTAAAGACACGTTTTTATTTTTGAGAGGGAACAACAGCTTAACGTCTTGGTGATCTGAATCTGCAGCAGTGTGATGTGTCATTACTGTGGTACAGATCTTGAGTCATAAGGCTGTATTATCTGACAGCTTGTTGTCCTTATGGCAGCTGCTTGATGGTTAGGCCGCCACAAGGACAATGGATGGTAAAACTCAGGAAAGAAACTGGGCCTCATTTAGTGTTATGAAATATGATTGACAGCTTATAAACTAACATGAGAACACTTATTTTGGAGCTTAAAGGGGTATTCCGGCGTAAAATTAATTTAAGTTCAAACACACCGTAAAAAGCTTTCTTGTTCAGCTGTTTGTTACACAGATCCTGTAAAGTTTCCTGAACAGAGACAGTTATTTTACTGCAGACATTCACCACCTTGTTTCGAACATTTTTCTGTTCTACCTTAAGTGATGACAGAAAAATGTTCGAAATGTTCTAAACTTCCATGAATAAATGATCATAAATGTTCTTCCTTGAGCTGCGTCCCCCCGCAGCAGTCCATAATGGACTACAAACCAGCTGATGGAAGAGAGTAGGTGAGTTGTGTTTAGTCACTTTGCTAAAGAAATTAGGCAAAGTTAAAAAGATGTTTGGTGGCTAGTGCTGTGGCTGGGACCCAATATGTACTGTTGATGAAGTTAGGTGCTGTTCTGAGCATTATTTGTGGCTATAGAGTGGTGTTTTGGTTGAGGTTTGTTTATGGCTCCTCAGACTGCTGTGTATTGCTATCAAGTTGTCGTTACTAAAGTTGGTATAACTAGAGAAGCAAGTGGTCGGCAACATTCATCTTTCGAGGGGGTGTCTAACTTGGTGTTACGGTGTGTTTGACTTTAAATTAATTTTACACCGGAATATCCCTTTAAGCTGTTTTCAAAGCTTCATACAACCATTTCAACAGACTAACAGTCACTAAATATGACTAGTTATTTGATCATAATGTATAAAATAAGCCATGCACCAGTTCCAAATCATGAAAATATTTTTTTAAAGTTAATATCAAATGCCACTTCCCAGTGTTTTTTAAATCAGTAAGATTTACATGTTTAAGTTAGATCGGGCAGCTTCCACGTGGATGACTGTTATGTTACTTCCCTCTAAGCAAACATGAACATGCACCACTTCACCACAACAAGCAACATAAAGGCAGGGGTGCAGGTCAGCCACGTACTGTTATTGTAAACTACATTAGTGCCTTATGTAAGCATGTTAGTTCCATTTTTAATGATTCATGCCTGTAGGTCTTCGTCCCCAAACAATGAAGCTGATTCTGATCTGACCGATCTATCTAAAAAGTCTATTTGTGTTTGTATTCTAAATGTAAACACTATTCAGTTAGAGTGGTTAAATTAAAAGCTGAGGACATGTAGGTCCCGTATTTGATCATTGAAAAGTACTAAATGAAAGAGAACACATTATCTTATATGTCTTAGCAGCGTATCTGCACTCAAATGCAGTAGAGTACTCTTGAACATTCTTGAATTTTGTTCTTGACTAAAAATAACTCACAGAGAAGGAGACTTTGGTGAATGACAGCTGTTGTCAAAACTCCATTAGTGGTTGTTCAGAGCAATTTTCTCATTTACTGGTTGAACTGTTGATGAATAAGTTTAAAAAAATAAAAAAAAATAAATAAACAACATCTGCTGTCAAATCATGATATCACTTCCCACACCTGCACTACAAAAATGGAAACCAATTTGCTCAAAACAGATGCAGTGATTGTATTTATTTTCCTGGCTTTTTACTTTTCAGATAAGGTTTATGAGTTCATGAAAACGGTTGCATGGCAACAGAGTTATTCTATACACAATAGATGGTGACTGAATTAAGTTGGCCAGCTGTCTTTCACACTAAGCATCATTTAATAATCTGGGTTACACTGGGGTGTATTTGTCTCATGATATCAATGCCTTTGAGAGGTTTAATTATGTGTTTCATGAAAAGCGTACACTCATGTCTCACGTCTCTACTGTCTCAAGGTATGCAAAGTCATGCAGCCTTTTCAATAGGCTGCCTCTTGTTTGAAAAACTTGACTTTTTGATAAAACGACGACGATTTTCTCTGATTTTTACAAAATGGGCAAAAATACTTTGTAGTTGATGTTTTAATTGCCTCAAACTACAAATGACTAATTACTTGTTTTCCTAAATCAAAGTCACTTCCAGTTCAGGCTTAACCAAATGTGCAGCTGTCCTCGGTTTTATAAAACCTGACTTTGGGGTTATGACCTGTTGAATGGACAAAAAAAGGGGAAAGAGATCTAATCATGATGAAAAGCTAAAGTCTGAGAGATTTGTCTTCTAGCTTGTGGCTCAATATATACCAGAATTAAACTGCATGTTGCATTGCATGTTTTTACTAAATAATCCTTTGCATTATAAATTAACTGTGTATGAAAAGTTTACGATGCAAAGCTGCACATTGTTCCAAATCAGCATTCAAAGCAGATACTCTCTCCACTGAAAATATTAGCCCCCAGTGGCTTTTCACTGAATGTAATAAACTTTAATTTAAAAGAGGAGGGACGCAGAAAGTATCCAACTGACAGGGCTGAACAGTAATTGCATGGAGGTTGTCTGTGTTCGATCAAAACAGTTTAATTGCAGTTGCGAGTGGGGAAAGTGTCAGACAGCGTGAATTTTGAAGTAAAACTAGGCGTAGTATTAGTGGGACAGTTTTACTCCTCTGTGAGAGTCTGACAGACCCCCAGATAGGGGTGTGCTTTTAGCTATTTCTTTTCTGGGTTGTTGATACATCTATTTCCACAGTGTCTGACTTATCAATGAGCTGTACTGGTGAAGTTAAATAACAGTGTAATCATAACATATTTTACCAACCACAGAATACTTGTCTGTAAATTAGCCAAACAAAATTAAACAAGTATGTATCTTTGTCACATTTCTTATTGGGAATCCACAAAAGTAGTTGCTGGAGCCAAACATGTACATTTTGAAGATGCCTTTGCCCTATGTGAGTTTGGTTTGCACACTGATAAGTGGGTGTGGTTTATGGTGGCACAGCAGTGATCAGTTAATTCATGTAAGCTGGAATTTGGAGTAAGGTGGGCACAGGAGGGACAATTTCTGTTGACCACACATTAAGAGTTAAAAATGGATATATGTTTTGTGAGGTGACGTTATTTAATATTAACAGTTGTATGTACATGTAGCATTGTGTTGAATAAACAGAGTCTGGTACGATATAGTTTATAGCGTGTGTGTCAGCTCTCTGACTCTAGTGTTAAGCCTAGTCTTTGCTTTAAAATTAATATAATCAGGTGAATGACTAAATGTAATGAGCATTCAGTAAAACATCTCTTTGTTTTAATCCAGTTACCCTGCTTTCTTAAATATATTCTTGACAGGTATAATTAAGAGGGTCAAAAATAGACCGGAAAGAGTGTATCTTTCCTAAACTGGCTACTCTCAAGAGCTTAAAAACTCCTTGATTTGTAAACGAATAGTAAACTGCAAGGAAATGAATTTAGGGTAATGTTGTACAACCATCATTGAACTTTGGATATGACAGTGACAGAAAAACTAGCGGGACTGATAAGTTGCTATCCATCTCTCCTTTGATTCGATTCTGAAACATGAAGGCAAAGGTAAAACCCTGCCAACTTGTGTTAATAAGTTTAGAACATGCTGTAATTTTTGGATATTTAGACATTCCCCAAATGACACATCGTAAAAACTTACATGGTAATTAACACTACTGTTTCTTACTGTGACAACAGGGTCAAACAATGATGGGCTGCACTTCACCTGTCCTAGAAGATGTGACCCAATGCTGCCTTGGACTTAATCAATATATTCATTTGTCATTTATAATAAATGAGCATTCAAATCTGATGAATATTGTCTTGCTCACACTGCTGTGAGGTTATCCTATCTAATTTTAGATAGGATCAGCCAAAACCTTGCTTTTCACAAGTGTAGGGCATGTAAAGTTATGCGGAGAAAAAACACTACTTACTCGATTGTTTTCCGCTGCCCACAAAAAGAGCTCAGTTGGTTTGTCCTTAAGCGTTTGTTCCTTTTCTAAATACCACTCTTCACTGTGCTCCCCCTCCTCTTCCTCTACTTCTTCCTCTTCATCCTTGATGCCCGTCCACAGACTGCTGGCCCCTCTGGGAATTAGGTGTCCATGTGTATTCAGGAGCTCCAGCTGGTTGAAGTCTTCTGGATACTCCATCGTCCACTGTTTCTGTCAGTGGGTCTAAAATGTAGAAAGGAAAGAAAGGGTGGTTTCAGTAAACACTGAAAACTCAACAATGTGGAGAAGTGGTCCACTGAATGTTTCATATCCATTTATATGGAAGAAAAGTGGTCAACTGTTAAACTTCAAATCCCCCCCCCCCCCCCCAAAAAAAAAGGTTTGAGCATTATGTAAGATGGTGTTTTTTTAATCAGATTTAATGTTTACAACTAATTTGCACTTGAAAGTAGTGCAAAGACAATATATCAGGTGTTAACACTTTATATTTGAGTTGTTTTCTGGTAAATACACCGACCAGGAAGCGTCTTAATTTCAAGTTTTTGTTAATTAATCAAAGTTAGAGGAGAAAATGAGAATTACAGCTTTACGTGAATCACAAATACCTTCATGTTAACGTGTTTGCAGGATAGTCAACATTTATTTGCACATGTTACGGTAAGGTTAAACACTTGCACTTCCCGTCGACAATAACAAGTCAACAACGGAAGTCAATATATCTACATAAATCAACAAAACATCTTCAAATGTCGAATAAAATTGTACCTTCAAGTTTTAAAAGCTGATACCTTCCGATCCTTGCAGGTTCGTAACAAGCCAAAACCAACAGTAACATACTGAAGACATCTGGGATATGTAGTTGTTGACAAGCGTAAATAAAGCGAGAACATTGTATTAAAAAACATCATTACCCACAATGCTTCCTTTACACGGCCTCTGTCTTCCTCTCGAGTTTAACGGTAGTTGTTCCTTTTCGGCGTTTGGATTGGCAGACCAGAGCCAGCATTAGCGTACTGCTGCCCTCTACAGTCTGGAGTTATTAGTTTTATATAGTCCATGGAGGCTGCCCACAAAAAAAACAGTAAACAGCAGTAATTCCTGCAGTATTTGTGTTTTTCACCAGTACTCCTTCAGCGAGCTAAGTCGATGAGTTGAAAACTGGTTTGTTCTGTTCCTAGAGGTCTCTGAACAGTTTCTGTCTGATCAAAAACCTATTCTGTCAGTGTCTCAGGCACTCTTTGTCTTTGTTTTTTTTGTTGAAGATATAAGGTTTGAGGTTTCTGCCCCCTTTGCCAAACGGCCTCATTGTCCATAAGTAAGGACAACCCATAGTCCCTCAACATCTCACTGAACATATTGTTCACCATGATATGAAATAACATTGGACTGATCACGCTCCACCTTGGGACGTGCCATTTTCTACACTCCAAATATCTGCTGAACCTACCCTTACTCAGATTGTCCAGCCAAATAAAAAGTTTTTGATGAAAAATAAGTAGCTTTTGATAGAAAACCATTCATCCTTTCATTTCTGCTCTGTAGAGTTTTATCACAAGTCCTTCATCTCGGAGTGATTCACCCACATTTTCTATGTCCAAAAATAATCTCTTAACAGAATTGTTTTTGTTAAACTTGCCTTGACTCTGTATTCCTTTCTGTCTGCCATCTACCATTCACTGGTGGTACTAAAGAAATCGTGAGTGCTCCAAAACTAAAGGTGTATTGTAGTTAAAAAAATATATGGTGTTTGTGTCCCATTCCTTCAAATCGGATTTTATAATTTGTTCATCATTTTATTAGCTGTCCCTGTTCTCATTACTCCATCTTCTGACAAATGAGTAGACCTATTCAATCTTCTTCCCAGACTACAGATGGGGACTCACATTAAAACCAAGAGTTGTTTTGAGATTATTTATGACTGGCAAAAACAGAGCCAACTTACTCAATAAATGATCCTGAGTCTTTCATTAGTGATTGGAAACTTTATCATGCCCGTAAAATGACTGATAGCAGCAATAAATAACATGATGCTAATAGAAAAATGACTCATAATCATTTTAAAAACAGCAGTGGGAGTCAAAATGTCCACATGCATCACACAGTGAGAACGAATTAATAAGCAATCACTGGTCATGAATGAATGTAGATGTGAGGGCGAGAACTGAGTAGCCCAATAAACAAATCACATCTGGTAGCAGCCTGAGCCTTTAGGTAATAAGTCAAGTCTGGTCCAGCCCACACTTCAAACTTAATCAAAAAATAAAAGTTTGGAAGAGATTTAGTTAGCACTCATCACAGACCCAAACTAATTTATTATGGCACTACCGCAAAAGATGAAAGAAAAATTAATCAGTGAGGTTGTAATTATCAGCTGCATTACACATCATCAGAGTGAAAGGGGTGTTCACAGCTGGGTTAATCATGCAGACATCTCTGATTCAGAGACATTACAGCTACTTTCTTAATTCTTACAAAATATGTGGTTTTGAAAACAGGTGATAAGAAAGGACATTATTAGTTTCTTGATGAGCTACATCCTGATCCTGTGTTGGGAAAGACCATCCCTAAAGGCAAGCACAATGTCTCTGGGTCAATCTTCTTATGTTAAGATGAGTGTCTGTGTCCATTTAGACATAACTAAACTGACATACAGGTGCAACGTTACTACTGGTACCTGTTGAGGTGTTTTGTTATGTGTTTACAGAGCAGTCAGACCACATATGTACCCAGCAAAGTTTCATTATTACCACGTGCAGGTTACTGCCTTTAGCCATCTCTACAAGAGCTTTGATATGAATCATATTAGGGAATTTAAATAAATGTTGACATTAACCTTGGGCTTTATATAAGCAATGATACACAAGGGAATGTAAATCTGCATTGATGCAAAGCATGCTACTAAAATGAAATATTGTAGTGCACACTGAAAACCAAGCACAGGAAAAACTTTAAGAAAAAAACTGCACTCTGAAAAGATTAGTCACTGTAATTTTCTGTACATGAAATAAAGACCACAGGTTGAACAGAATGATTGGTATACTAATATAATGGCACCCACTGGTCCATGCACTTTATTTTGTCAAAGCGTTTTCATTTTGAGCTGTTTCAACATTGCTATGTTTTACTTTAATATACAGGCTACAGTAGTAGTGGCTTACCACTTACAAGGTAGTCCATCCCTTAAAAGGCATAATATACTTTTAAAATGGGGGTTGTAAGGGGTATGTATGCGCTCTTTTGGACCATTTTTCAATGCATTATTTTGCCCTCAGAAAGCCCATTCTTTTTCACTATTCTCGAATGCTACACATATATTAATAGACTTTATATATCTATACAGTATATGTGTTCTTCCACAAGTGTTTAGCTAATGGGGTCTATAATGTCGAGGTCACTAATGAATCATGAATTCTGATCATTTTGTATCTGAGTATGACGTGATTTTAAGCACCAGACTGCAGCTGTATTTGAGGTGCTGGTATATTCTGATTCAGAAAGGTCCTGAATTACTATTGTCGTCCAGGTAATTAAACGGGACAAAGAGGTATTCAAAGCAGATTGTATAAGCTGAACATTAACAACGGGTAAGACAGACAAAACACAGGTACAAACTCAGGGGGTAAACTAGACTTGACACAAAGGGAAAAACAGGAAATACTAAAAACTGAATGAAGAAACCAAACAGTGAAAAACACAAGAACAACAGGAACATAAGAATAACAAAGAAGTGAAACAGGAACAACATATACATAATGAGTAAAACCCCACGGGGAATAGTAACACAGGGGAATAATTCACAACAAGCGATAGAGGAAATACAAAACAAGGAAAACATAACAAAAACAGGAATGAATTATGACAACCCCTGCTTAGTAATCATAACTACACTCACTTCGCTATTGAAGCTCTTCCAGATGGCAGCGAAATTTAGATTTAGTTGCTTTTACAACCAAAAGATGTTGTTTGGTGGACAAATGTTATTTTTGATTGCACAGAAGTGATTAAATTAGACACTAGCATGAATAATTACACGCTTTCGAGGGTTTTTATTCTTCAACACAGTTTTTCACCCTCAACAATATATGTGTCTGACCTCAGCCCTGTTTTTGCAATCATATACAGTATTGTATCGCACACTGTCATGATAAGAAAGTGGAATGATATTGAATTGCTCTGCCACTTGTACTCTTCTCTCAATCAATGACTCAGGATTGTGTCAGGTATTCAAGTACCAATAGGTGTGCAGCTCTCTGTCAGGACCAGATCTATCCGGACTCTGGTGCTCATGTATGTAAGGAAAAGCTCTCCTTGAGGGCAGGACTCTTTCTCAACATCTACAAGGACGAAAACTTCATTAATGTTCAGAAGAAGTAATACTGGGCTCTCTTTAATGCATTTGAAAACACATTTTCAATGCTGTCTGCGTGAGGGCAGCTGTAGCAAGGATGCGATAAACACACACAGCATATAAAAAGACTCCATGGCCAGTGGGAGAATTCATCAAGATTTTAATTAATTGTGTATCTGACTTATTTGCTGCAGGCAAATATCAACTCACAGGACTACCTCTAGAAAGTGTGGACATATATGAAGAGTTCCAATCAATAAAAGTGGATATGAAGAAAGTGAATTGGTCCTTCGTTGGAGATTGCACAAACCCCATAAAGTCTCAGTTTCCTGTCCTGACATTGGCTTTTCTTTTAGGTGTATGCTAGGGAAATGTATCGTTAGTTGAGCCAAAGGGGTAAGTTGAGCCACCCCCTGTTTCTTGGAAATGGTAAAAGAAATTGGTCATGTGACCAAATATTTAGGAGATGGGCATCAATTCATGGAGTCTGTGAAGGTTAGAAACACATGGGTGAAGAGGTTAGACATTTATTTACAAAACAAAAACATTTTCCACTCTTGAAAGTGAATTCAGTTTGTCGTAAGTTTTATTTGAATTGTGTTCAGACCAAAAAAGTTCATGTTTGTTTTATAAATCAACTGTGGTATCTATGAGCGACAACATAAGGTCAAAAACCTAACATAAAAGTCCACCATTTTAGCTTAAAGGACTAATAGACGGGTTCCTGTGCAATGTCATCGCAGGTATGCGCGCACAGCCTTGGGGCAGAAAGCGGGACATTTCTTATTTGTGTGCTAGCGGAGTCAATGGAGAAAGAAAATGACAAGGAGCTGTTGTGCTGTAAACTGCATGAATCGGCAAAACTAACAACTGGCAAACATTACGACCCTGCTCCTGATATTAGAAACATCTAAAACAATGTCACAACCTGGTAAACTGTGTGAAATTCATGGACATTTCAGCAAGTGTTTTTCTGATTTTGATGCCATGAAAGACAAAGCAATTTTTCAATGAAAAAAAAAAACATTTTATTGCAGTTGTGTCAGGGAGAACTTGCAAACAATACGACAGAAAGACAGTAGAAATACGGCTCAACTTACCCCGCTCCTATGGTCAACTTACCCCATACACAGGGTTAAGTTGACCATAGGAGACCATTTTTTTTGGCATGCTATATTATCAAGACAGTTCTGTTTACACTCATTCTGTTGGTTTACAGGGATGAACAACATCTTGAAATATATGCAGATACACTAGTTAGAGACAAAACTATGATTGACTTGATGTACTGAAATATGAAAAATGGTTCATCTTACCCCACTCTCCCCTATCTGACTTATTTGCTGCAGGCAAATATCAACTCACACGACTACCTCCAAAAAGTGTGGGAATATATGAAGAGTTCCAATCAAGAGGAGAAAGTGAACGGTCCTTCATTGGAGACTGCACAAACCCTATAAAGTCTCAATTTCCTGTCCTGACATTGGCTTTTCTTTTAGGTGTGTGTTAGGGATGGAAAATCGTTTTTATGATAGATTTAAACCGCTTAAGCAAGAGCATCTCTCTCTCTCTCTCTCTTTCTCTCCCTCTCTTATTCACTCACAGTTGGTTTATGCTCACACCAGCTTTAAATACAGCAGTCGCGCCAGTGACTCACATCTGTCAACTTGTTGCTCCAGCTTTAAGGTCCTCCTCATCACTTCAGCGAGACAAGTGAATGAGCAGGAGTCCAGGTTATGGTCTCATAAACTAAAGGTGAACATCTAAGAAGAGAAAATGAAGACTCTGTGTGTTTTGTTGTCTGCGGTGCTCTGGACCGTAATCCTTGACCGGACTGCTGCGGTAGCGGGACACCGACTCAACGACTCCTCTCTCGGTGAGGGGATCTTTTCTCTCATAGAGCATTCATTCAACGTTTCGGGGAAGGTGACTAACAGGACGTCTGGCTTTTTCCTGCTGGACTTTGACGAGGGCATGCTGGAGGATTGGAGGTCTTTGGCCAGCAAGAAGAGGCGAGAGGGGGAGTCTCAGGACCGGAGTGTGAAAGCGCTGCTGGTGGCCGCCTACTCCCTCATCATCGTTGTCTCCCTCTTTGGAAATACACTGGTGTGCCATGTGGTGGTAAAAAACAAGCGCACCCAGTCCGCCACCAGCCTGTTTATCATGAACCTGGCTGTGGCGGATATCTTCATCACTGTGTTCAACACACCCTTCACTTTGGTAAGAGTCCACTCTACACAACTCTGAGTTTAGCTGAGGGACAACAGACTCACATTAACTTATCAAGAGGGTTATGAAGAAGCTTCGACACACTTGAGAAGTCAGAAAAGTTTTTAACTAGTTTTAAAAAAACAACATCATTTTAAAATGTATACCTTTAATGCCTGAAACTACAAATTATGGCCAGAAAATTCATTTTTTTTGGAGCTGAAATGTTTATTTTACTCACTATTGAAAACCAAAAAATTAAAATGTCCTTAAAATTAAACAAATATATTTATTTATCTTGTTTGATACATTACATACATGTTTTTTGAAACTGTTCAACCACAAGAGGACATTTTTGTCATTTTCCAGACTGTATTCCGGTGTTTTTTAGTAATTTGTTGATCACATTGATTTGATAGAAGCATCATAAAAGTATGTATCAAATATGATACAAAAGGCAATAAAGGACAACTAATGATTTAAGTTTTTTATTTTTAATAGCTCATTGGATTTTCAAGCTATGAACAACAAACTACTTCCCATCTGCTTAAAATCTTATTATAAAACTTTTCAATCAGCTAGTATTAAAAAAAAACAACTTGAAATGTTTTGGACAGGATAAGTAGTCAATGAGCATTATTTATTAATATTACTTACTTTTTATAAATATCTCATTGGAATTTTAAGCTATAAACTCCAAACTACTTCTCATCTGTATATAATCTCTCTTTTCAAAGCTGTTCTGTGACTCAGAATATCTCACTAGAGGTCCTACTAGTAGCAAATGAAGTTGGAGGATAACCAAACTCAGCACCCTGATTTGTTGTAATGTTTTCAAAAGCCAATGGGAAGCCTGAATTTGCTTTTTTCCCTGTGCCATTTACCTTGCAAGCTGTTTACCTTGTTGTAACTGTGTTCTGATTGTAACTGGAATCTTTAAAGCCATGGCACCAGGTTAGCACACTTCCTTAAAGTCGGAGAATGATAATCTTGAGTTATTTAGTTGCTACCCCATGGTTATTTGTTTTATAGACGCAAACATTTGTTGTTTTTTTCCAATGCTAAATATCACAGTTTATCTGAACACAGTTCTTTTAATATTGGAATGAATAAACATGCAATTACGTTCAACATGTGCCTGTAATGTTTGTTTTTTGTAATCTCACACAGCTATAATACGACAGCCAGAGGGTGCCTTTATTTTTCATTGACCACCTGCTCCCCAAAATGTCTGTGCACACCACTGTGGGCAAATAAGAGTACAAGGATGCACACCCATACACGGCTTAAGACCTGTGTCTACAGATTTGTTATCCGCATCAATGGACCGAGTAACACATCGATTCAAATCCATACCTTTGGTTTTATAAACAAAGTTTCATTCTTCAGATAAAAGGAATGGATAACTTGCATGGGAAACACATCTTCCATGTATTTATCTGTAAGGATAGATGTAATGGTATATTGTGTTTTGAATTTCCACGATTGTCATTGTTTCATATACTCACATACCATCAGATATTGATACCTTGTTTCCATTTGTGTGTGTGATCAGGCTCTGTATATCTGTAAGAAAGAGAAAATACCTCTAGTGTCTAACCAAAGGATATGCATAACCTGAAGAAAGAAAAGAAAGCACAGACTTAACCTGTTGCCAGGGGACTGACTAACCACATCTGACTGTGCATAATATATGACCATATTTTAGTCGGATCACATTACTCAGAGTTACAAACAAGTTCTTTTTAATCATTCAAACTTGGTTGATGATTAAGAGCAGCTCAGTCCAAGGACACAGCCTGTAAGCCTGATAGTAGTCTGTTAGATAAGCTGGTTATCTGCTATAAAGCCTCTCTGAAACCTGCTGGAAAAATTTAATTTTTTCAAGGCCATAACATGGATTTGAAACGAACGCATGACTTTTTTTTTTTTTCTCTATTTGTGTGTGTCCTCTCAGGTCCGATTTGTGAACAGCACCTGGGTGTTTGGGAGGACGATGTGTCACATCAGTCGTTTCGTGCAGTACTGCTCCCTGCACGTCTCAACTCTAACTCTTACTGCGATCGCGCTGGACCGACGTCAGGTTTGTCTTGATCAGGAGATGAAACTGCTCTGCTCTTTTCTCCTTGGGGGGGGAATGGGGCTCCGGCGTTTCCTGTGTGATGTACAGGGGCTTATGTGAATTTATCAAAAAATGACAAAAAAGTTGATGAAGCTCAGTTTTACAGGCAAGACAACCACGATTCAGTAAAGTAACATAAGAAATCCAGGGTGCTTAGTAAAAATGATCAAACAACATAGTACATGTATGACAAGATTACAAGAAAATTGAATTTGGGATGGGTTATCTTTATGTTTAAAAAAATGGACACAACATACATTAACAAAAGAGACATTACACCAGAGAAAGTCCCTCTGGTTACTCTGATTTTGACTGTCTCCCACCAGAATACCAGAAGAGAATCAGAAGAGAGAGTTATCAGTCATGGAGTTCTTCAAAATGAAATCTTTTGATATCCCAAGACTCATAAATCTCCAACACAGTAACAGAGTAACGGAAAACAACAAACAAAGACTAAAGTATGGGGGGAAAAAGACATGGAGACCATGACTTTGTGGTAAATTTGACTTTTGAACTTGAACTATTGAAATCTAATCAGTCCTAATTTGTATGAGCCCTACACAAAAGCTATCCACATTCAGATTAAAACCAATTATATATTTTTGATTTTTTTGTCACTTGCTTTTGTTAATGATTATCAAACATTACTGAATGTTTTTTTTAATTAAAATGGGAATCTAAACGTGGTGGTTAGACGCTGTTTTGAGTAAAATGTTGCCTGTGAGTAAAATAAGGGATCTGAGGGAAACTGTCATTCCTGAAATCCTCCCTCTCCTTGGTGTGTGTGTCTCTATTTGTTTGATATTCAGTAGTATGTGATTGATCAGGGGATCAGACCACACTTCATTTATAAATCCTCTCAGAAACTAATGACATTGACCTTTAAGGCTTCAAATCTAGTGTGACAAACAAATGTGATCCTCTGCCCTTTAAATGATAACTCAGGAACGCCTCAGGTAGAAACAGCTGTGGAATAACTTTTAAACTTAATCCCCAGAATAATTGAATTTAAAGATTTATTTACCTTGTAGTTAACAGTCAGTCACTTTGACTACACTTTTTAATTCTTGTGAAAATCTTCACATCTTGAGGGATTTTCATGTGGCTTGAGAGGGAAGGCTCAAGTTGACCTTCCCTCTCAATCTTTTGTCCCCCAGCACCTTGTCCACCTATTCATTTCTCTGTAGAGAGAAGGGTCACTGACAATAACACGACCTTTGAAGACACACTGAGAAAAAGAATGAGAGTTTTTATCTGAAGGCTAGCAACTGCAACTTCAGCGATTCCTGCATGAGATGTGAGGTTACCATGTTGTTTTTCTCCCTCCTCACTTGCTTTTATGTCAAGGTAAAAAAAGAAAACAAAGAAGAAAAAATTCTACTTTCTTCCTCCCCTCTCTTCCTTTCCATTCAGCATAGCTGTGGCTTCAAAGATAAGCTACTGCAGACACCTGCAGATTGTCGGCATGAAATGATTGCTGTTTTGAAAAGTAGCTTTCAGGGGGTTCACTCTACAAAAACAGTTACGTCATCTGCAAAGATCCCCCACATGTTAAACCTGTATGGGTCTCTACAGTCACTCACAGACATGGACTTAAGGTGAAGTGGTGCAGGACTGTGACAAATGACTTTTATTTTGTTTTTGTCATCTTTTCCTTCGTGTTTTTATGTTACACACTATGACAACTTTGTACCTCGGTGTGCGGTTAGTAGGTGTGCTGCTGGTACTTGAGAGCACAACTAACAGTCCTCACTGGCTGACTGAATCGTTCAGTTCTCATGGTTTTCGCTTCACCCTCTCTACAACATATGGTCCATCTTCTATACATCATTTACATTAATCCATTCTCCAGCAGACCACCTCAGCAGCTAACCAACAACTAGTCTACTAAATATTCACATTTATATCCAACTTTTTCAGCATTCACAGTTTGGTGCCAGCTAGTTAATGATCGATTTACATACATTACAGACATTACTTCGGTCATTCGGTTTCTTTTTTCAGTGTAGCACAAGCTCGTTCAGCATGCAGCATTCACTGCATGTGTTCCTTAGATATTGCTTTTTCGAGTCATTACAGGATGTTCTGCATGATCCTATGATTGCTCATCTTCTTAAAGGTCACTCGGAGTAGAATCATGACTGTATTACTCAACCATCCATTACAGGGCCACTATGAATTAATTGAAATTGCAATAAGGCTTGTTAGATTCATGTCAGTTTTACTTCTCTGTATACAAACGTAAACTTAATATGCTTTTGTCTTACACCGATGACAAAAAACAGACCTAAAATCAAACAAAATCACAAAATAGTCCAGAAAACTACATCAAAATTCTTTAACGCTTGCAAAAAAACACATCTGAAATGAGCAACAAAAGGAAAGTGCTTTCAGTGTCAAGGTTTTTTCAAACATCCTTCTTTGGTTGTTTGGGTGAAAACATGAGTAACAAGAAACTCTATTTCATCGCACTCAAATAACCCAGAGAATCTTTCTCCTGGTCTTTTCATCAGTTTGATAATGCACCTTTGAATTTGTTCATAAAGTGCACCTGGACTGATGTTGCCAAGATCTATGTGCAGAACTCAAAAACTCTTATTCAAGAAGATCCTACTAAAAAAATCTAAAAGGGGGTACGTTTGACAAGGGGTTCACAAGGCAGGAACAGGCATGGACAGCATGGATAGTAAACCAAGAAAGAAGGGGAAGACAGGGACTGTATACACATAGAGGGAACCAAGCAACAAGTGAGAGAGACATGACAGAGGTGAGAAGATAGGAATAATGAACACAGTGAAACAGTAACAACAGGGAACAGAAACACTTGGAAAAGTGAAACTAACAAGAACCTACCATGACATTTCTCCTCCCTTTCAAACTTCTCGGGCCTCTGAAAACAGTGACATACTGAATTAAGGCTACTTTGTGTTCAAACGTTTTCATTTTTAACTCAGAGGTCGAGTCAAGTCAACCTTTATTTATATTGTATAAACAACTAGAGTTGACCAAAGTGCTTTACAAAGTAAGAAAAGTATCAAAGCATTTTTTAAAGTGTTTTAATCTGTCAGGATAATAACATTTTCAACTTGAGGTGAAAGCCAAAGAGGAAAGATAGGTCCTCAGTAAGGATTTAAAATGTTCAATAGTGGGGGCGGTTTTTATATGAGGTGCTCAGCTGTTCCACGAGTTCTGAGCAGCTACTGCAAAGGCTCAATCACTCCTAGTTTTGAGGTCAGTTTTAGGTTCATCCAGGAGCAGTTGATTGTTTGACTTTAGAGCTCTAGCCAGACTGTGGACATTAAAAAGCACAACAAGTTAAGATGAAGTTAATCCATTCAGGGCCTTAAAAGTCAGCAACAAAATTTCAAAATCAATCCTGTGACGGATTGGAAGCCAGTGCAGAGAGAGAGAGAGAGAGAGAGAGAGAGACACGGGTGTAACGTGGTCTCAATTTCTCTTTCCAGCCAGGAGGCGAGCAGCTGCATTTTGAACAAGCTACAGGCTCTGAATGGCTGACTGCTCTAAGCCCACATACAAAGAATTACAAAGAAAGTGTGGATCCCCCTCTCTAAATCTCCAGGAGGGGAATAAATAAAGTTGTTTTAAAGTTATTAAAGTTCAGTAAAGTTATTCTTATTCTTAGAAGCCTTTACTTAAGATACAATTTTTAACTGTAAGAAGCTGGACTTAACAACAGAAGACCAAGGCTCTTCACAGAGGAGCAAACACAATTTGCAAGAGGGCCAAGAGCGCTGCCATCCAGCTGTTCAAGGTATCCAAACACAATGACCTTAGTCAGGAAGTTTAGGCTCAGACATGACTTATAATCTTTCAGACAGTTGAGCAAAGGCTGCAGTGACCCCCACTCCTCATCCCCAAAGGAAAATAAATCTGAACGTCATCAGCATAGCGATGAAATGACACATTATGCTTACAAAAATAGAGCCAAGGAGTAACATATAGAGAGAATAAGATTGGGCCCAGAGCAGATCCCTGAGGGACACCACAAGTAAGAAGGGCTGTCTTAAAGGAGTAATCCCCAATGCAGACAGAGAAGGTTCTGCTCACACACCTCTCTAGCTGAGACAAGTGGATCTTGTGATCGACAGTATCAAAAGCAGCTGTTAGGTCTACGAGAACCGTAGTGGAGTCTGCAGAACCAACGGTTAAAAATCACATTATTTAAAACTTTGAAAAGTGCAGTTTCAGTGCTGTGAAACAATTTAAAACCAGATTGAGACTTTTCCCAAATATTGTGGTTAACTAAAAATGTCTGCAGCTGATTAATACTTACTTTCTCCAGGACTTTGGATAAAAAAGCAGCTTAGAAATGGTTCTGAAGTTGGAAAGAACAGAGGAATCAAGATTTCTGCTTTTAATCAGAGGCTGCACAACAGCATCTGGAACACAGTCAGAAATAAGGCAAATATTTATCAATAAAAGGATTCATTGCCCAACAGAGTCAGGTACCGCCTTGAAGAGACAGGAGGAATGCTTTCTGGAGGACAGTATGTAGACCAGAGATGGTGAACCGCCTTGAACTGGTCCAAGACAGCTGGGCACAAAGGACGGACATAGGGGTCTGGCTGAGTGTGGGAGGATCGTGAAGGTTTGAGAGCAGAAATTTTCTCAACAAAGAATTTAAGAAAATTGCCCCAAAGAACCTTGGTTGGTAAGACAGGTGCTGGATCACCTGGATTTAAAAAACAGAGTTAAAAACAGTGAAAAGACCCAGAGACCAGCGAAAGTTTCCAGAGACTATGCTGGAAATGAAAGCCAGTTTTTGCTGTTTTCACAGCATTTTTATAACCATGTCGGTTCGTTATCCAGCACAGACAGACAAAAGCACAGTCATTTGATTGGTTGCCAGTGGTTTTGAAATTGGACATGAGTCATTTCCTTTGGATGAAATTCAACCCTGATTTGTATAAAGATGGAGTAAATAAAAACTCTGATGGTTTCTACATAATTTAAACTATATATCACACTGAGAATAGACAACAGACATCTTATATAGCGTCCTAACTTTTTTGGTATTAGTTTGTAAAAAGTGTTGTATGAATAATGTATTTTCTGTAAGTTTATCTGATCTGTGTGTTTTCAGGTGATTTTACATCCTCTAAGGCCTCGCATGTCCCCGGCACAAGGTGGGATCTGGGTTACTGTGATCTGGATAATGGCCAGCTGCTTCTCCCTGCCACATGCAATCTACCAGAAGCTCTTGACCTTTACATACAGGTAAAAAAACCGCACTCTTGATGACAATTATATGATTTTTTTATGGTAATGGCTTGATTTTTGGTCTGAAGATGGACAGAAAAGATCATAATGATATTTTAAAAAGTGTTCAGTAACTGATGGACTTCAAGAACAGAGCAGAAGGATTATTGATCAGACATGGCCAAAGGAAAAATCCTCCAAACGTACTGAAAACGGCTGGACTGTGATTAAATATGTTTCAATGTGTGAGTAGAAAGATTTTTGCACCTGCTGCTTCAATTTGCAGTGAAACATATTTCCTGTGTGCTCAATAATACTGCTGTGAAAGTAAAACCTCGTCTTGATATCCCACAGCTCTAATAAAGCAGTCTTAAACTGTGGTACAATTGTGACTTTGTATGACTGATTGACAAGAGTTTCAGCAAAAGATAAATTGTACAGGGTTTCTAACGGTTAAGATAAAAGAAACTATTTTCGGCAAAAGTCATTGTTACTTCCGTGTGAACATAATTACAGACATCAAAATCAGTGTCGAGAAAATTATAATGTATGGTCTGAAAAAGCTATATGTACCCAGTGTACAGGAAGATCAGTCAAGGAGTTGTCAAAGTGGTATAACTATAGACTGTATAGAAAATGGACAACTTGGTTCCGCCTCTTGCCAGTATACAGATTTGAAGCTGAAAAGCTCTCAGTATTTGTGTGATTTTTCTCCACTTCCTGAAACCAACATTGTGCAGCAGCGTTGTACGCATTCAGCGGGAGAGTCGCTGAGAGTCACTGTGATGGCGCTCGGCTCAAACAACATATCCCTCGGGTGACCTACGCAATTTTTGTACGCCAATAGGCTGTATCAAGTGTCAATCATTGAAAACATGAACCCCCTAAAAACTTTTAAAAATGGAGCTGTCGAGAAAAAAGAGGACTTGAGTACAAACCAGTCTTACAGTAACTACATGTCAACATCACAACCAGGGGGGAGAAAAATTTATATTCTGTGTAATAAATTTTTAAAGTTTGTCCACAGCTTCATAGGAATTGCTGGAGGAGGCAAGATTTATGACCTATACTGCAGCCCGTCAACAGAGGGTGCTGTTCTCAGGGTGGCTTCACCCAACGAGGAGGCAGACGGCATTCTATATCCAGTCTATGGTTATAACGCGTTTATTTAGCAGTCTAAATTAATAATTGATGAGCTCTATGTTGAAAATGTCTGCCATTGATTGTTGTCGATTAAATGAGTCGTAGATTAATAATATTTGGGTGGTTGATTGGACAGCAGTTTTAGCGATATCACAGCTGCAGCATGACATGCTACATCACCTGTTTACGGACAAAAGCTTTAAGTTCTTGACAACATAACTAATAACTGTCTTTCCTGGTTCTTCTGTGACATAATCCACCTGACCAGTAAGGAAAAGGAGCGCAGCCTGTGTGTCCCAGACTTCCCTGAGCCTTCAGACGTCTACTGGCAGTGTATTGACCTCCTGACCTTCATATTACTTTACATGCTGCCACTCCTCATCATCACTGTGTCTTACACCACAGTGGCCTGCCGGCTGGGCTGCTACAACGCCATCGGGGACACCACAACAGCTCAGCATGCTGCTCAAAAGAAAAAACGGAGGCGGACATTGGCTATGCTGCTCCTAGTCGTCGGGGTGTTCGCCGTCTGCTGGTTCCCGCTCAACTGCTATGTGGTGCTGCTGTCAAGCCAGGCCATCCATTCCTCTAACGCCATCTACTTCTGCTTTCACTGGCTGGCTATGAGCTCCACCTGCTACAACCCTTTTATCTACTGCTGTCTGAACCCCACTTTCAGGCAGGAGCTCAGGCTGCTGGTAAACATGTGCAGGGAGAAACGCAGGGCTGTGGACGGGTTGGAGCCGGGGCTTCGTCCAGCAGCCGCCTCTGCTCCTCGACACAGGGAAGCTTGGCTTGACAACCAGGAGTCCGCCTGTCCAAGGCGTGCTCTGTCCCACCCAGGCCAAGCCTCTTTGCAGCAGAGCCATTCCTCCTCCGGTCAGTCCCACAACCTAAAAGACACACACGTGCTCTTCACTGTGAGACAGGTCCTGACAGGAAGAACGGACATCCTCTCTGTGGAGCCCATCATAGCTGTAAGCTGACTGAGAACTACATGATGGGCATTTGGTTTTCCACAGCCTTAATACTAATATACCATTTGGTTCCAAAGAGGACAGAAATCTGTCAGAGGCCTGGCTCGGCCCACATAAAATGAGTTTTTGATTGTGCAAAGATGAAAAAACTGCAGCCGTTAAAGGATTTCTCTTTGGGTTGCACTGATTTTCTGTTTCCACAGGGTTCTTTCTTTTTTATCTCCTTCTCTGTTACAAAGGTTGTCAGAAATGAAGGTTTCTGATCAAGTCCCTCAACAAAAACTGTCTGTGAAGAGGTTATTGAAAGGATCACACATCTTAAGCTTCAGTTGACAAGTTTATGTTGAAAGTTTAGATTTCTTTCAGTATTTTTTAAATGGTCTTAACCTTTGTGTTGTCTACATCTTTTGTTTACAACCCTCGTATTTTGGGTCAAAAATCACCTGTCCTGGTTAAACCCTTAATAAAAGGTAGCCTCAAAGACAGACAACTTGTTAATTATCCGTGTTTCTCTTATCATTAAAAGTGTGGCCTTTAACTTTTACATCTAGCCTTTCTTTTTCAAAGGATATCTTTTTTCATCAAGAATATCTTCCTAGCTGCTTTGCCTCACGCCCTTGGTTGGATTCCTCTGAACCATCTACTTCAGACACATCATCTTCCTCCATGTCATTGTTCACTTTCTCCTGTTCATCATAAAAAAAAAAAAATCAGGTCTTAGATCCTTTTGATATTGAAATGTGTTCCCATGGCTTTAGCAAAGAGAGGACAGGATGTACCTTCGTGAGCTCCACTTTTATAGGAAATGATACTTTGATGGTGTTTTCCGCTGCTAAATGACACTTTGAAATCATTTTAATATCACTTGAAATTCAGATTATTCAACCAGCAAACTTTTAACTTAACTGAGGTTATGGAGGAGAGAAGATCGACCCACACAAAGATGTTAGATTTTTGTCTCGGTCTCCATTTTGTCCTCTGGGTGTTAAAGGTGGGGTAGGCAGGATTCCGTTAAAGAAGCATCTTTTTTTTTGTGGTGTATAAACAAAAAGCTTGTAATATCAGTCAATAGCTATTAGTTATTGATGAAATTTGGGAATATCACGATATCACTGTGTTTTGTTATGTATGTTTTAAATTTTTTTGAGTGGCCCGCTCTTTCTGACTGTATACAAAGCCATTCTCCACCTCCCCGACCTGATTGGTTGTGAGGCGGATGTTGCTCCCTCGTGTTGTGCGTCCTCAAATAACGTGCACGAGCCCAAACAAAGTTAGCGTGCTACAATATCGGACAGTAGAAACCAACTAGAAAGTAGGGAAAATTTTCTGAATCCTCCTTTGGCTACGACTGCCGACACAAGCAAGAAAACAAAGTAAATACCGGAGACTGGTGGAATAACAGGCGCTGAAAAAAGAAGGTAGACCACCCGGACAAGAGCTAAAAAGCCGGGTCAACATCAATGAAACATGATGAGGGATGCTTCAGGATCTTACAGACCCCGTAACCTTTCTGCTGGACAGGTTAACCACTTTAACAAAGTAAGACAAGTGTCTGAAACAGAAGTGTTTCTTGCCAAACGGGACCTCCTGTGTGTTGTAGCCAGAGATGGGAATTGTGGAGTCACCAAGTCATCTCCATGCCATGTATTTGTTCTGCTCAGTTACTGAACCAGGTGCCTTCACTAATGAGCTCACCTTCCTGGCTGCTCATTGGAAGCAGCTGGTTCAGTGACAGAGCAGAACAAATACATGGCATGGGGATGACTTGGTGACTCCACAATTCCCATCTCTGGTTGTAGCGCCGCTAAAATGTTTACCTTGGGTCCTGGACTATGTCACTTTATCCTAGTTGTAGAAGTCCTGCGAACTTTTTGTTTGCTGGTCGTCTGCTGGCATCTACAGTAGCGCCAATGCTTTTTACTTTCACGTTGACTGGGCCCCATTTGTAATTATCTGAAGTATTTATCTGCATTATATCTGAATTTAATTGAAACAACACGAGCGAGGAGTGTCTGTTTGTGGGCGGGGCTTTCTGGAGCAGAGAGGGGAAAAAAATGGTTTGGAGGGGTAGTGTTTACATTCAAGATTTCTGCTAAAATCTGGCACTTCCTCAGATCCTGCGTACCCCACCTTTAATGTGTGTGCAAGAGGGTGAAACAGCGAGTATATGCTTGCAGGTCGGCACCTCTTGTGATGTTTAATTGCAGAGTCCAAAATGACTGGGTGCAATTGTTGTATTGGGTTGATGTTAGTCTGTTTTTTAAACGTTTGGTCATTGTTGGAGAAGTCATAAAATTCAGGTTTATAAAAAAGGGGGTTTCTCTGCTGTTAAACGTGATGGTGGAGGTTTTTGACCCAGATCACAACACATAGATTCACAATCACATGGCTGGATACACAAGACAAGCGCTCATGTTGAGCAAAGCAATTATCATAATTGGCAAAAGTTGTTTGTACACTGTTTTTAGCCCACATAAAAGAGCCTTATGTCCAAAATCTGGTGAAATATCAGGTATTCGTACTGATGTTCTGATGAAGCTGTTTTCAGTTTCTCTTCTTAGCCTTTCCTGACAACTCTGCATGTCTCTCATTGCAGCAAGTTCTCCTAAGTCCTTGACCTTGAAGAAACTGTGAAATAAATACATAGATTAGCTTTGACAGGATCTGATGGCTTTCACAGCTACCTACACCGACAGAATCTCATTGGCTGTGTGAAGCATGTTGAGAATAAAATCACGTTCGTATCTTTTTGTACCGAGGTTGCTCTTTGAATTACAACAATATCAGGGGTGTGTGGCGTACTCAGATGAAACTGAAAAAGTTGTTTTAGTGTAGTGACAGTGAGGGTTTTGAGCCGTACCTGAAACTCACATTAACTCCTTAAGCTGCTCAATCTGAGGGTACTCGAGATTTAAACCAGCATACAATGACATTCAGAGCAGAGACTACAGATTACTAGATGGACTTGTAGATGATCACAAGATAAAGACCAGCCTTCTAATGTACTGGGTAAGCACTTTCAGTAAAACAAAACCCAGCTATTTTCATGTTGGTTCCCTGTGTTTTGATTTATGTATTTGTTAATAGACATACCACAGGTGCAGTACTGTTTTAATTTGAAGGAGAAAATTCAAAGTTCATTTATTCAAATGAGATTTTTCTTTCCTATTCTTCTTATCTGTACTCTAAAATAATCAATGGCCTTAAAACCACACTTCACTGTAATATTTTGATAATCTACAACATACAGACAGGTTGCTTATGAGAGCAAGCCCATCCTTTACCTCATGGTTACCTCAAATGCAATGACCCGAAACTACTACTGACCTCTACTTTTGTGACTGAGTACATTAACAACAGAAGTGTACTTTCAGATCTCCACTGGCCTGATTCATGAAACACCTTTTGTATAATGGTCATGTTTTTTCCACTGCCAGAGAAAAAACTTGAACTATGTGATTACTGAACACAAAATGTACAGAGTTGAAATGGGGAAAATTAATTGACAGAAAAGAGCAGGAGTCATCTGCTCAGGTACTCTTAAGAAATACAAAATATATGGATTTCTGACAACATTCAGCAATGCTGAAAAAAAAACATGCTTTTCATAACATCTGTACTAAAATGAAACATGTATTGAACTGAGGAGGCTCAGATAGAGTAGTTTCCTGGGAGGAAAGGGAAATGAACAGACTTACACAAAAATGCTTCATTGTAGCAGATGAATAAGTGAGAGGAAGAGTGTTATTTAAGATTCAAGATCTACTTTATTGTCGCTTGCGGGAAATTTGTCTTAGACAGTAGAGCAGGGGTGGGCAATCATGTGCCATTGAGAGCCGAGAGGCTGCAGGTTTTCTTTCCAACACAAAACTCCACCAGGTGATTTCACTGATCAGTCCCTGCTCTCTGCTTGGAGGTGAGGTAATTAGTGAAATCACCTGGTGGAGTTTTGGGTTGGAAAGAAAACCTGCAACCTCTCGGCTTTTCATGGCACATGGTTGCCCACCCCTGCCATAGAGCTACACTTGCTGCAGTACATAAAATACACATAGAATGACACATACACACAGACAAAGCAGATACAACAGCAAGAGGAGTAGAGTAATCATAAGCACCATTATACAAATGCCTAAAGAACATTTTGTGCTTTGCCCTCATGACAAGCCTTGCTGAAAGACACTGTAGTTACAGAGAGAGGTTTTATTTCAGCTCGAACAGTTTCAAGACATTGTTTTGGTGAGAATGTAAATGGAGTAGAAATGCCCAGAGGTGTTTTTACTGTCAAGGGTTGAATGCTGGTAAAACACGTGAAAATTTTTTTGTGAGTTTAGTGTGTCTTGTGGAAAGTGTATTTTACAATTACACATGTTGACATGTGTGTGTGTAGTTGTACATGCTTTTTGTGTACAGGCTAAATGTAAAAATGTAATCTTATGTACTGTAATTATCGTGTTGACTGCTTTGCATCGATGTTCTTGAGGGGCAATGATCAATACGCCATCACAGAGTCTTTGACGTACCGCTCCTGTATATGTGTTTGTAGCCTGAAGCTCACAAGTGTTCTCACATTATAAGCGATTCTCTCTGTTTGTTACGTTGTGTCTGTCATTTTTGAATGTTAAATATTTAATTTTTGTTTAAGTAAATATTAAATTGAAAAACATACTCATTTGGTTTTAGATGTTTATTTTTTCTTTTGCACTGATTGAACAGCGACTGGTGTAACAGGGTTTATATGGATTGTTCCACTTGCATGATGTAGGATTTGTTATTTTGTATGGTTGGCTCAATGGCACCCTCTCTCGGGTTGAGTTTATATATTCAATGAGCAATGTTATGGCTTAACCACTCAGTGAGAGACGTGCCTGCTGTGAGTAGCTGTGTACAGCGCTGTGTACAATTCTATGTATTAACAGGGGCGTAGCAGCAAGTTCTGGGCCCTGTACACTCTCAATGTCCGTGAATCCCTATCCATGCCAGTGCATGAGGCGCATGAGCAAAACTAGGATTTTCATGTGGCCCTATCCCTACTCGGGCCCTGGGTAGTCAGGTCCACTCCCCCCCCAACTTCCACGCCCATGTGTATTAATGTTGCTATTACCACTTACTGGTCTCAGGAATTCACTACAGCATGATTGTCGACATGTATGAGATTATTAAGTGTAATTCATATGAGCTAACATGTCAATAACATATTAAAATGAATGCGATAGCTAACTAGCCTTTACTCTTCTTGGTGTGTTACCCAAGCATGCTGCTGTACAAGCCAACCCATGGGCCCCTGAGGGAACATGAGTGAAGAAAATAAATAAAAAAATATTCTCCAGTTTTTTTCTCGAGATCTCACAAAACTATTGCAGGCTCTTGTAATAGTTTTGCATGTCCTTGTAAAACTATTGCGAGATCTTGCAAATGTTATCTGAGTTCTTGGTCAGTGTATTACTTTCGTTTTAATTTAACACTAAAATTGGAACGTACGCAGCTATGGGAAAGGTTCATTGAATTTTATTTTGAATACATTTTCTGCCCACCTTGTCCCTTTGCATGCACATAATGTCCCCGTTAGGGATGTCCCACGGTCATCCCAGTGTTACATGGGATGACCATGGGAATTCTTTCAAATTGTCCTCCACGACTCGTGTTTCATAAGAAAACAGTGTCTGCGTCACAGAACCGATTCAATATCTTTTTATCGGAGGCCAATCTCAAGAAAAGATCCAATGAACCTCTAATAATAATAATGCATCCGATTTTTATAGCGCATTATCAGAGACCCTCAAAGCACTTTACATTGGATACATCATTCATTCACTCACACAGTCACACCTCTGTGGTGGTAAACTACCTTAGTTGTCACAGTTGCTCTGGGGCAGACTGACGGAAACGTGGCTGCCAGTTTGCACCTACGGCCTCTCCAACCACCACCACACAACACTCACATTCATACACCAGTGGAGGACACACACTGACTGAGAGCAAGGTGGGTTAAGTGTCTTGCCCAAGGACACAACGGACAGACTAGGGATAGGGGGGAATCAAACCGCCAACCTTTCAGTTATTGGCCGACTGCTCTACCTCCTGAGCTACTGCCGCCCACGAGTGCGTACGTTCCATCGTCTGGGTTGACCTGACATGGAGGAAATACACTGATCTAGAATCCTCTTTCTTATAACCCTTTGACAACTTTGCCAGATCTCACAATAGTTTTGCAGGAGCACAGAAAAGATCTCGAGAAAATTCACATCCAGCCCTCTGGATGTCCCTGCCCGGCCCTTTGTGAGGTCGGTCAATCAAATCATCAACATGCTATAAAAGTGTGTTACTTTTATCTTGAAAAACTTTGCCGTTGTTTTATTTCGATTTGGACGCAAGTGTGTACATTGTAGATCTGCATTTGTGAACAGAGACAAGTTTTAACATCTGCGAAATATAAGTAGACGCCTTATAGTTGCCAAGTCCGCTTATTATAAACAATTTTAGGCTTGTTTTTCTCAAAAGTTGCTTGGAAAATTCGTGAGTTGCGGGTGCGCTTTTTTGGGCTTGTCATTAACTCGTAGTTGCTTATTTGGGCTTGATTTTCTGTATGTGTGAACCCCCAACCCCCAAATTGAAGTTAAAGTTATTGTTCAGGTTTTTTATGTGGCCTCATGTAAAAATTAATTGCCCACCCCTGCTCAAGGGGCTCTGTACCAACCATATGACTGACTATAATTTATTCTGTTCCTGTTCAGATAATGAACTGTGGATACAGACAGACAAGCATCCTGCGAATCTTTAAAACACAACCCACATCCAAGAGGTTTACTTAATCAGCCAGGTGCTGTGAAGGGCAATTAAGCATGGTTACACTAGCCTGGTAAATGATCAATCAATACATTCCAGCTATAGGAAGAAGAAAACGAGGTACGGTAGCTGTGGTACATTCAATCCGCTATAAGTAACTTCTCCACAGTGAAAACTGTGATGACCATCTTGAGGGGCTTGAAATTTAAAGAAGTAATTAAAGGCCCTAGGGTGCTTCTTGGTTGAAGTAGGAGTAATCACACGTCTCCCAGGATATATTATAATTAGGGTAAGTAATGACTGACTCTGTAGAAAGCCCTTCTATAAGAGAATGTGAACAACAGTAAAATGTCTTCTTATTCCTTTGAAACACACTTTCAGTATGGTCTACCATGTAGGTGACAGAGTGAGGCCTTAAATGTACATCCTTTCATTTTCACTCACAGTCAGACTTTTGTCTGGTTGTGATGTCAAAGAAATGACTGTCAGGTGGCAGACAGAGAGAGCCTTATAATTTAAGAGAAGCAGAACATTGTCAAGTAGATTTGATATGAATGCTCAGTGGCGAGACTGGAAAGATTTGATTGCCTTTAAAAAAAGAGAAAAACTTGGATGAAGGCTCATCATGTATAGATAATAAGCAGACTACATCACCACCCCCAGATGTCTGTCCAATAAACAGTGTAATTAAGCAAATAAACAAGCTTTTCAGACCAAACAGACCAGACTGAAAGCACATTGAGATTTATTGTTGTGAGCTACAATGTGAACTCAGTCTATGCAGTTGAAGGTCACAACCTAGAAGAACATTCGATGTGGCACAAAACTTAAAGTACTTTTGCAAAGCATAATCCTATGAAGACCATAAAAACTCTAATAACACATACGTTCATTTCTGTCTGGTCCATCAGGTTAAATTTCATTAACTGCTTTTCACCCTCTCTTTGTCCCTCTGTTCTGTGTATTATCCTTCTCTCACTATGCTCTCATCTGCTCCTCTTTGTGATATTTAATAACACGGTACTTGCTCATGATTGCACAGTGAAGTTTATTGTCTCTTGCTTAGGTGTCTGGTAATGTACATCTAAAGCTACAGTGTACCGAGGACACACTCTGACTGAGGTCATTTCAGCATCCGTACCTTCGATAGCACTCAACTTTTTTTTATTTTTACACAAGTTGTCTTATTCATTTTCAGAACTGCTAAAGCCAACTGAATCCAGCCTTTCTTCTTTTTCAGAGGAGTGCTTTGATTTTCTTAAAAATGTTTTTGCATTTTCTGTTTCCCCACCATGAGCAGCCTTACGACACATTGATTTTCACATCCAAGCACTCCAGACTCTCTAAAAGATCTCAAGGCAGGGACACTCAAGTTTAGTAACCTGCTGTTGAACTGGTGCTGGGGGAAATTGGAATTCACAAGGCAGCTAGACTTTTCCTCCAGCAGATGGCAGAGACCTTACTGACCTTTTGTAGACTGAAGAATTAACTACTACAAATGAAATGCTTCACATAATCTTTGAAGAAAACAAGATAAATACCCTAACCTTGGGTGAGTATAAGGATGGTTTGCATGTAAAATTCATAACCCTCCATTTCCCGTAGGTCAGAAAACAGGACTCATTTTCAGCCCTGGAGTTTCATGGCTCAGACCAGACAACTTCAGTTCACGACCTTTGCATGAGATATGCAGTATAATTTTGTCCCTACTGGTATGAAAGTCTTAAATAAAGCACAATAACCTTGTAAGATTGTTATTCATTGTGAATTTTACCTCATCTCAAATTTCCATTTCAACTCGAATCAGTCGGTCTTAACTAAATGATACATGAAGGTAAGTCAAGTACATGACTTAAAAGTTTCCCATATTAAGTCATGTACTATGAAATAAAAAAATTAAGAGAGACATATCATGTAAGAGATAAAAGTTTGACTTTTTCTTTCAATGAATTATGACTTACTATGTTTTTAAGAAGTTCAGAAGTATGGCTTATTACCATGGGAGCGTTTTTGTCATGTTAGTCAAAGGTAGAGTTTAAATGTCTTTTACAATTTTACAAGTCATTCCCTTCTTTCAAACTTTTTATCAGTTATTATTAAGTCAGGTCAGTTTGATCTAATTGGAGAAAACTTTTTTTTCTGAGCACTTTTCACATGGAAAAAGTGCAGTTTTAACTCTTTATAATACCACTGCTGATGAAGAGGTGATAGACTAATACTTAATCATTACAAATACAGGGTATTCTGATTGATGAGTCCCTGCACCGAATGGGAAAAAAACTAATGCTAAAACTGAGTTTAACCTTGATTTGTCCTCATGTAAGAGTGCCCTTATCAAGTGTCTGTCCATTTATTGTAATATTTAGTGCCTTGAATTGTACTGTGTTTCCTTGTGTATGTGTTTTTGCTGCTGTCTTGCCCAGGTCTCCCTTTAAAAACAGATCTTTAATGTCAGTGGGACCATCGTGGTTGAACAAGATGAAGAAAAAACATTTACTGAATCTTGAATTTGCACCGCTAGCTTTCCTGTGTTTTCTCCACCTGCATTCAATGAAAGTCTCGACCTTGTTTTACTGAAATTTAAATGACTGGCAATTTTGCAGCATCAGCTTTTAAGACTTGGCCACCTTTTCTCTTTCTCTGACGTATCCATTGCATTGTCTCATGACCAAAGACTGTCGCCAATAGGCCAGTGTTTGTGCAAAGAGTCCGTGGGTGATATGGGCAACTTGTGTCCATGCTGTTTAGCCCCAGGCACACCAGTATGGAACTTTACAGAGCTGTTTGGGTGCTAAAAAGAGTCAATTCTTGCTGCAAGGCTAAACCATATGATCTCTCGACCACTAAAAAGTGCATTAATTCCTACCATTTCTCCTGGCTAACTTTGAGCCAGGCAAAGAGATTGATGAATCTTGTGAAACAAACAAAATGGCAAAGTTGTAAGCTTGTGTTATATCCCTGATCAGATCTACTGTTTGGCTGTTGGTGAATGTTGTATACAGAGAGACACCACTAAAAAATGAGCAGGCATTGCGTATTACCTATTGCCATTGGAAGCAGTCTGTTTGATTTATCCACTGTCACTGTTATCTGGCCCTTGTGGCTCTACTACCAACCCCGCTTACTGGGCAATGTCACGGTTTTTCCCATAAGCCTCTCTTACATTTTACTCTTTGTCTGTTTCTGTTTCAAAAATCAAATGTGAATATTTCAGTATTTGACAAAACATGGAAAATGTTCTTCGTGGGTTCTTCTTTTCAGTGACAAAACTGTCACACCTGGCTCAAACAGAGAACAACAATGCACAACTCTTGACACAAGTAAAAAGTTGAAATTAGTTTTACTTCAAGTTGTGTCAAAAATCAGGCAAAGTTATAAAAGTCAGCATGCAGAAGCAGGTCCAAAACTGTGGGAAAAGCTCCTCTGACAAGCTTTGTCTGTGTTTATTTCTGCACTTCCTGTTGACAAAGTGGTAACCTTTTGCTGAATTCATCTAGTCTATGTAAATGTCATGTCAATTGACCAAAAAAGTCTGTCTTTTTATAGAGAAATGTATCACTTGCTATGACTAAGACTTCCCTCTGTGAGCCTTCCCATCACTGCAGCAACCTACATGAAAAATGACAATGTAAAAACTATCAATCTTGTCCTTAATGGCCTCATGTGCCTCTGAATGTCACAGAAATGAAACGCTGTCCATTTCCGTCTGTTCCATAGCACGTCAAAAACTCCTCACAGGAGCATTAAAAGTATTTGGAAAAATCTCATCAAACAAAACTACATAATCTCACAGGATAAAAGCTTGGGTGAATTTTGTCATGTGTACTCACTGTGTCTAAAAAAAGAGTTTGGGGTATTTCAGTTGCACTGTCCCCTCTCTACCTCTCAAAAAGTTTGATTTCTAATCCACCTTCTGTTGTATTATGAGAGCTGTAAAAACCTCCGACTGCATAGATTTCTAGAGTTTTAGACCGAGTCCCCAAACTATTTTTTAATGAGTGAAAAAATGGTTGTTGGAGATTCGACAAAGAAGAACTTAAGTGGTGTCCAGCTGTGAAAAGGTTTTACTAATGTACCCCGTTTATAGCTGCTGAACAACAGGATTGTGTTTTTGTGTGTGTTTAGCTGAACAAAGACAGCGCACATCATGCTTTTCACATGTGTTTAAGAGTCTACTCATGGTCCTGATGATAATCTGAAGATACTAACATTACTAATTGGGTTGAGTTTTCTTCCACTTTTACATTGTTGCTGCTGCTGGAGAATGTTAGAAGTAGAAAAAACATAAAGTAACACATGGTCAATAAAAGCTTTCTCATCAGACACAGCAGAGCGCTTTGCTTTCATAATATCGACAACGCAGTGACATTTAATTATTGATTCAGTTAGTTCTCTGTTGTTCTTTTGTTTAGGATCACAATTAAAATAATTAGATAAACTCCATATCTAATTAAAATGATCAGTATTATGTAATGTTGATTTTTTTTTCAGTAAGGTTAACTTGCATCAGGTTAGTAGCACAGATGAGTATGAGAAGAACAAACCCAGGGAGTCTGAGTCTTTCTGAAGCAAAGACAGAGTACAGCACCGGCAGAAAGCTCAATAGTTTAATAATGGTGTGTTTGAAATTGCAAAGAATCTGGAGGTTTTGACATCGACTGTGAGTTTGGTGAGGGAATCATCCTAGATCATCCCAGACCAGAGCAGAGTCAGGTGTGTGGGTGTCTGATTGGTCTGACTGAGAGAAGTTGTTGGGAAGTGTAACTCTTGGTCTCCAATGTTTGTGTGAACTCATCATTGTCTCACCTTTAGAGCTAGTAGGAGGCACTTCCTTTGTGCTCTTGTATGGTGTAGCAGTGTGTCTGCATGAGAACCTCATAACGTTTCAACGAGATTAGTTTAACTCTCTTAACTTCTGTAACAGAGTGGGTTGTTGATGCTCGAGGCTCTTTTTGACCCTTCTCCCAGAGGGCACCCCAGGCAGTCTTATTTTATGTTCAGTGAGTGGTTCCTGAAGTCTAGTATCTGGTCAGCTACTTAGCAGCAGAAGTTTTGTTTCACTCTTATCTATCTTTGATCAGTTAAAGAAGTAGGAGTCAGCTCAATATTTTCCCTTCCCTCTCAATTACTTGTGATACAATTGTTTCCTACGGGACAACTTCTTGAACCTCTTCATCTGCAGTAGCTCCCCATTCCCCCTCATCCCGATGGTCTAGAAATTATAATACCACTGAAAGATCAGAGGGAATCTCTGTATACACGACACAAAGCAGAAAACCAGCATTGGATGGCTGTGATGTTTGAGCTCTTAGATGGTGCAGCTTTAAAGTCAGGCAAGCCTCTTTAATGGACATCCCCAACATGAGCTCAGAAATGCTAAGAAGCCACTGCCTGTGAACACATCACTGCATACATGAATGCTAGTTGAAACAAAGAACAAAGTGTACATACCAGCCTGGGTGCCAGACCCATCACAGCCAGCTCCTATTTATTTTCACAGGCATGTGAGTCTAGAGCTGCTGCTATTCTCAACATTCTCTCTTAGTGTCAGAAAAACCATCACAAAATGACAACACAAGAGTGTTGCTTTAGGGTATTTGTAAACAACCAAGATGGCAGTTTCCGCCCCTAGAGGGTATGTCAAAATCCCAATGGTGGCTCTATTAAAGAAACTGGATGTATTTTCATTAAAGCAAGACTGAACAAATCCACATACAGTGCTCATTGGTGAGAAGGGGGTGTGTCTGTTCTTTGCCCACTGCTGAATGTTAGCATAACTGTTGCTATAGGTTTCGTCACATGTTGAATGCATTGTCCATGTGACATGGGTAACCTGCACATTAATGAAGGATCCATTTATACCAGAAAAGGTTTCGTATTCAGCAATCAGCATGCATTCTGGCCTGTGAGTAGCCAATGACCACCGCTAATCAGGTGTGGATATGTGTTTACTGTGGACCTGCAAGCAGACGGAAAGAGAGGAGTAAAAAAGGAAACTTTCAGATCCAGAGACTGAAGTTAATCTGAGGAAAGTGAAGATAAAAATACTTTTTCTTCTTCTTTAAGATTTAAGAGTGTTGTGCCACTTGACTCCAGGACACCATTACCACGCTCTTTCACAGTCTGCGTCACGTGGGCTTTAGCACAAGCCAGTCCCTGTGGTGTGTGGTGGGTCAGCAGACAAGTGGAGTCATAAAGTTGGATATGACACCGTCAGATGCCCAACCAAGTCACACATGCAGCTATGTAAACAGGCTGTTTTCTTACTGGTAAGCCTCTAAGTTTCTCATTGCTTTATGCTCCAAACACATGTTTACAAGTTTTCTTGTGATTTATTATTGTAATGATTATTGAACATGCAGAAAACACACATTTAATCATGTTAAATAACCAATGCACATCTAATATAGCTTATCTGAAGCTGAAACCTGGTAAATCCTAACTGATTTAACTAAATATGTTACAGACTTCTGCCTTTTTTGAAAATTATTCACACAAAGTGAATAAAAAATGTGTTTTCTTTTAAGTTATATTCAGGCTTTGTGTGTTCTTTATTTACACAACAGGTCTGAGCAGGCAGAGGCAGGTGTGGATGTATGTACCTGGACTGAAATATCAAAGCTACTGAAGCTACTAAAATAATGATGAATGCTGGAATACATGTGAATTACAATTAACATACAAATACAGTATGTTCTGCTCACATTTCAGTTTCACCCAACATCTTTGACCACAAAGACCTTACTTAT